AGTGTATAAAAAGATATGCTAATGTAGAAACATGATATCATAATACATATATCACTAGTTTTCATTTACCAAGATTCATTAACCAATAAATGTACTGAATTTGGTTAACTTTAAATCTAAATTAAAGCAAAAACAATAAAAAAAGTTTTAAAAAAAACAGGGCAATATGTAAATAATGCAAGTAAATTGTGTATGCTACTTTTCATTTTAAATTTTAATATTTTGAACTTTAAAAAAAGTTTATAAAATTTCAAAGTTATAAACATATAAGAATTTTAAAGTTCAAAATATTAGAATTATATTTATCAGCGTGTGTGTTCGTATAAAGAGTGCTCAATGAACAGAGAAGAATACAATTTTAGAAAGAAAAAGAGATAATAATTTATATACAAAAATCAACGGTAAAAAACATTATTTTAAGAATAATTTATTTACAAATAATTACAACTAAATAAAAACAGCTTAAACTAAAGAAAAATCAAAATATTTTGATAAAAATTAAACTCTTAGCTTATTTTCAAATTAAAAAGCGAGTTTTTCTATTTAAAAAAAAAAGTACAATGTTTATCCAATTAACAATAAGAATAATCTTACTTTGAAAATTTAAAACGAATTAATATGCTCTCATTATTATAAAAAATAACAAGATAATACCACAAGATAAAACAGACAATAAATGTCAATCAATAATTTTTAAAGTATCCAATTTTATTATTACATAAGATTAACATAACAGTGCACCTGCTTTCAATTGGAAATAGCTACAAACCCATTACACATTTACACATTAAAACGATATGTAAAATCAAGTATGTGTTTACAATTTATGACGCATGCGTAGTTGATTTAAAAAAACGTTGTTAGGATCATCTTTATCTCTTTATCTGTTTAGCAATTATAGTTACTGAATTTCGGTTTTATTCGTTTTATCTTTAAAAAAGTTTTACTTGATTCTCGTATATTATAATGTAGTAAAGGTATATTTAAGACAAGATGTTTTTCACCTTAAAGGTATAATAATTTTTTACGGATATTATGGCATTATCAGATTTATCGACTAAATAATAAAAGTATTTCAAAATTATTGTTAGAGGTTCTTTTGTAAGCATATTCATGAATCATTACGTTAATCTCTTTTATAGTTGATAAAGTTAAGCGGTTTCTTTTTATTACCAAAACGACAATCGGTTTTTATAATTCAATACATTCAGGGCCGTCGAGAAGAAGGAGGGGGGCGAAAGGGACAGTTTGTCCCGGGCGGCAGATATCCAAAGAGCGATAAAATGAAAAGAAGGTGCCGAAAATAAAATTAAAAAAAAAAATAAAAAAAAGCCCTTTATCTATAAAATATGATAAGGGATTTTGATAAGGGCGCCAATCTGGGTTACTGTCACAGGCGGCGTGACGGCTCTCGGTGGCCCTGAATACATAAAATGATCCAGGGCCACTAAGAAAAGTAAAATATAATGCACCGTAACTACTTTGCCGTTGCTTAAGGAAATAAATTTGTATAAGAGTATTTATTATACCAATTACCCAGCTAGTACACATACGTTGTTAAAACATTAGAACAATGTCGCGTTTTCGTTGGCCCAACATCGGCTGCCAGCATTGTTTTTATATCATTATGGTTAAAAATGCAACGTCGCATTTTTAACCATAATGATACAAAAACAACTAAAAACCAATGTTGATAAAACGTTTTTTTAAAGTCGGAAAATGGTTATATTTTCTACGTTGTTACAACGTTTTTTATTTTATACGCTGGCACAACGTTGTATTTTAAGTTGCTGCAACGTTGTATTTACGTCGATTCAACGTTGAACTTTAGTTGGCAAAACGTTGTATTCATTATTATTCGGAATTTAATTTTCATTAAGTTCTATTTTCTTTATATATTTATAATATATTTATATAATATATGCACATATAATATATAATATATAGTATATATATACATACATATATATGCAGCCGACGTAAACATAATATATAAAATTATATTAAATTGATAACGCTTGATCATTGGAACAAAAATCATGTTTGTGTTGATTTTGGTTTGATATTTTAATGATCACGCAAGATTTTGTTTTAATTATATAATTTCTTAATAGCTATATTTGGTCGAATACATTGGATCAACGTTGGGTTAAGATCGAAAAAACAATCAACTTTTTTACGATGTTTTTACTTACATTGGACCAACTTAAATTTGCCAGATGTTTTTAGTTCCGTCGGTAATAATTTTATCATTAACCAAATGATATTGGATCAACGTTGGTTTTGCATTGGAAAAAAGAGCCGACGTTTGCGATGGTTTTACATACGTTGGCCCAATGTAAGTGTGCTAGCTGGGTATGAATTCAAATTTGGTAAGTGCGTAAAGAAATGATCAGGTCCTCCCCAAATAACACTGAATGGTCGCCCATTACCGGCCCGATAAAGTTTTATAACGGCTATATTGGGCCATCAAAAGCCATCCCTACGCAAGATTTGCGGAATCGTGGCGTTTGCTGGCTAGCTTGCGCAGCCGATATAGGAGCGCGCATATTGGCTGATTATCATGGGAATTGATTGGTCATTCAATGATTGCTTTAACGCATGCGCGATATGACCTGAATTTTAACAAAACCGAAAATAATAATTTTATCACCTTCGTGCGATATTTCAAGCTTAATTTATTTTCCTGACTCTCATCAACTCTATCTAAAGTAAGTACAATTCAATTTAATATTTAATTATTATTCAATTATACCTTATATTTACGCTATATTTTTTTAAAAATTGAATTAAAATCTAAAATCTTTTTTCTCTTTTAAAAATCCAATCCGTCGACGTAGGATTGGATTTTTAAAAGAGAAAAAATAGAAAAAGATTCTAAAGGACAACTCTATTATTTTTTTTAAATTTTAATTCAATTTATAAAAAAACATAATGTAAATATAAGGTATAATTGAAAAATAATTTTAGAAAGTTAGAAACGTAGGCTAGAGCAGTTTGAAACGTAGGCTACGTTTCTAACTGTTCACATCTTTTCCGGATTCTTTCTTTTTAATATTTATGATTCAGTATATAGTTTAATTAAAAGTATTAATTTGTTAAACTGATGACACAATGACAAATTTGTGTATATATATATATATATATATATATATATATATATATATATATATATATATATATATATATATATATATATATATATATATATATATATATATATATATACATTGTTTTTATATAAGTATTTTGGCCTTTATTATTTAATTTGCTTGTACTGTCTATTCAGTTGTCTTAATTTCTTACAAATTTTGATTGACAATCTGTATTACTAGAATGGATACTGTGCCTTCATACTGGTCAAAGAGAAGAAAAGGCAATTTTACAGACATTACGCAAATAGAAAAAGTTAGCTGTGTTGATTCACAATCCTCTAGAAATCAAAATGCATTAGATTATGAGAATAAATCTAATTTAAAAAATAACTTAGATGTAATAGTTTAAGAAAGTTATAAAATTGCATCTGATCATGTTATAACTTTATCAAATGATAACGAAATTAATGATGGATATGAATGGGAAAAGTATATGCAGCAGGATGAAAATGAAGCTTGTGATGCAGAATCATTATCAGAGAATAATTCTAGTGAAAGTGAAACTGAAGATGAAATTGTAAGTAATGAAAAATGTTTAGCATTTGAATTGGGAATTTGGGCAGCATCTTTTTTTATTTCTATGGTTGCCATTTCTTCTCTTTTGTCCATACTGAGAATATTTCACCCATCACTTCCAAGAGATCCAAGAACTCTACTGAAGACACCTTGTTCAAGCAATGTCAGAGCAGTTGAAGTTGGTTCATATTTTCACTTTGGTATTGTAAAGTCATTGCAACGTCTAAGCCATTTACCACATTTCTTCAGAAATCTTTTGTCAGAAGTTCCTGAGCTTTCTCTGCAGATTAATTTTGATGGGTTACCTTTGCATAAGTCCACTACACAGCAGTTTTGGGCTGTCCACAAAACAAGCCATTTATAGGCTTGTTTTGTGGACAGAGTAAACCAGTACACATAGATGAATATTTAAAAGATTTTATTGATGAAATGCTTGAATTAGAAAGCCCCTGTAAATTTGAATGTAGATGGTAAAACTTACTCTGTTAATATAAATCTGATTTTAATGTTTTTACTGAAAAGCCCTGTTAGAGAATGTATAAGATTAGGACAGGCATCCATTAATGGTATTTCAGAAAGGCTATTTGAATTTAGAGCTTTTATTCCCCGTGAATTTTCCAGAAAGTGTAGACTTTTAAGTGACATTGAAAGATGGAAAGCAGTTGAATTTAGACAATTTTTATTATATAGTGGAATTGTTGCACTAAAAGGACATCTGTCAAACACTGTTTATAAAAATTTTCTTTTGTTTTTTGTTGGGATTCACTGTTTAGCTAGTCCAGACCTGTGTGCAAGTCATGCAGATTATGCAGCAACTCTCCTTTGTACTTTTGTCGAAAATGCTATGGAAATTTATGGTAGAGGATTTATTAGCTACAATGTACATGGCCTGATACATATAGCAGAAGATGTAAAAAAATTTGGACCACTTGATAACTTCTCTGCATTCCCATTTGAAAACTTCCTGGGACATTTAAAGCGTTTAATGCGTAAACCACAATCATCTCTTCAATAGGCTATCAGACGCATTTCAGAAAAGAATAGATTATTAATAAGAAAGTCCTACAAATCTATGGAAGATGGTGTTCCCAGAAAACTACATAACCAAGGCCCTGTTATATTTACAGAACAATCCAATTGTTTACAATTTAAATAAATATTTATAAATGTTTTTTTTTACTCTACCTCAGAAGGAAACAATTGCGTAAAAATAAATAATGAGTTTTGTTTGATTCAAAATATTATAAAGTTGTATAGTGATGAAAACCATTGGGTTGTTTACAAATTATTTTTAACTATTTAGCCTTTTTTTAATTATCCAGCTAATTC